TCCTTTCGGCTTTGGCCCAACCACTTCATTAGCTCTGGAGCTACTTGTCCTTGTCCTCTGCTCTTCCTCAGTAGCATGTTGGACACCTTACAACCTGAGGGTCCCTTCTTCCAGCGTCGTATCTTTTAGCCTTTTGTTTCTGTCCATGGAGTTTTCTTGGCAAAGATACTGGAGCGGCTTGCCAGTTCATGCTCCAGGTGGATTGTGTTCAGTCGGAACTCTCCACTATAACCTGTCCGTCTTGGGTGTCCCTGCACGGCATAGCCCATAGCTTCTCTGAATCACTCAATCCCCTTCACCACGACAAGGCACCCATCCATGAAGGGGTTTGTGGAGTCTGTGATTAGATGGGCAACTTTGAGCAATTCTTCCTGTTATAGCTATTGAAAAGGTCTTCCAACTAAACTCTGTATGAAAATGATTGATAGCTAGCAAGCTATTAAATGAGGAAGGGTCTCCTTTCTTTTCCATCTCTATGCTGTGTAAGGGGCATATACAGCTGACATCACAGCCCCAAAGTTAATCTCTCTCCTGCAGGAAAATGCCAATCGAGCAAAACGACAAACGAGACGATGTCTAGAAATACCTTCTTCGCAGCTTTCGCCTTTGTACCCCGGATTGCAGATACAGGTCCCCGTGATACACGTGCCGTGGCTGTTGCACGAGACATCAATGCACTGGCTGGTCGGAACGTCGCATTCGGCCCCTTTCCATCCACTGTGGCACAAGCAACGGCCTTTCATGTACTGCCCATTTCCACTGCACAACACTGGGCAAGATGCTAAGAGACAAATAAAAATAAAAGAGTCAGAAATCTTCATGTGAAAGGGTCCAGAACTTTGCATTTACACAGTGTGAGCTGGCATATTATCACCCTCACTATCCCATAGCGTTTGTACAGCATTAAAGATGAAGAGAAGTATTTCAAATCCTATAAACCTAACCATGTTGCAGGGCAGAAAGGAATTATTTGAGAAAAGAAGAATGACGGGAGATAGGATAGCACTTTTCAAACAGGAATTATTTGAGAAAAGAAGAATGACGGGAGATAGGATAGCACTTTTCAAATACTTGAAAGGTAGTCATTCAGAGGAAGGAAAGGATCTAGTCTTGATCTTTTGAGAGCACAAGACACATAATAAGGGGCTCAAGCTACAGGACGCCAGATTTAGGCTGAAAATAGGGGAAAAACTTCTTAAATGTTAGAGAAGTAGGACAATGGAATCAATTATTTCTTGGGAGGTGGTGAGTACTCCAACATTGGAGGCATTCAAGAGAATATTGGGCAACCATCTTCCAGATGGATTCCTACATTGGAAATCTAATTTGGATTCCTACATTGACAATTATTCTATGATTCTATGAATTCCATAGATTCCATGAATTCATAGATTCCATGAATCTATGTTGTGGAACATCCTTTCAAAGCTCACAATCCTTTTGCTGAGCGGTTGTTCTGCTTGTCACATGGAGTTTTATGGTCCAGGTGACACCATCATCCACAATCATAATGTAGAAGTGACATAATGGGGATATTCTGGCCTTGTGTGAAAGCACAGGGTAGCAGAGATGAGGCTTGCAAATGGCTTCAGATGTCCCTTCAATCAAGGGACTGGAGTAGCAATGAAGCCCAGTGAGAAACCCAAGCTGATGAACGAGAGAGGGTAAAATGTTTACCTGGTTCAAACTCTGGGGAATTTGGGAGAGGCTGTTGAAGTCCAAAGCATCAAATGTTGGCCAAAATCTTGCACATTTTTATTGGCAAACGGTAAGTGGTGTAACTTGCAGCTGCTAAAAGCTCCTGGTTAATCTGGCCTTGGATTATTCGCAGCACACAATCAGCTGCCTGGAGGTGCAACCAGGAATTATAGCAGAGACTCATTATTTGTGTGTATGTGAGTATCATCACGTCAAGTCTGATTTATAGTGATATTTGAGGAGTAGTTTTACCACTGTTCTCCCCCAGTGAGTTTTCATGGCCAAGATGGGATTAGAACCCTGATCTATTGAGTTCTCGTTTGATTCTCTACCCATTCTTACTACGCTACACTAGATTCCAAGAGATTCATTTGTTGGTGGTAATTTGCCACTGTGAGTAAAGCCATTTCCCTTTTGCTGGCTTCATGAGGCAAGAGGGTTTTGGTAATATATTTCACAATGATTCCTTGCATTGATCCAAATAGATATTAACTTGCTATTTATGTATTTAAAGGGACGTGGTGGCACTGTGGGTTAAAGTGCAGAAGCCTCTGTGCCGCAAGGGCAGAAGACTGGCTGTCGTAAGATCAAATCCATGCGACGGAGTGAGCTCTCATCGCTTGTCCCAGCTCCTGCCAACCTAGCCGTTCAAAAGCATGTAAAAATGCAAGTAGATAAATAGGTACCACCACAGTGGGACGGTCACACCATTCTGTGTCTAGTCATGCTGGCCACATGACCACGGAAACTGTCTTTGGGCAAACGCTAGCTCTAAGGCTTGGAGACTGGGATGAGCACCGCGCCCTTGAGTGGGACACAACTGGACTAAATGTCAAGGGGAACCTTTAGCTTTACTTTTATTTATGTATTTGGTATTTCAAGACTGTATGCTTGTGTGGTATTAGGTATTTTACACTGCCTTGTTTTACATTTTAATTCGTACATCATGTTTCTGGGGGAGCTCAGGTAAGAAAGACAAGATGAGGGCCAGAGGTTGCTGGAATTAGAGCTGGAATGCCCTCCCTTCTTCACTGTGCCCTGAAGAGCAGCTCTCCACCGTGCAATGTTAACCTCTGAGGCTCTGGACATGGCCAGATCTCGCTCAGAGACAACCTTATGCACGGCTGGGAACAAAAGGTCAGCTTAAGCTCCACCAGGCTATTGACAGAGCAGTGGCGGCAGAAACAATACAAGGCAGCAATTTCTAAGCTTTTCTGCTTAATTCTTTCCCAAAGGGGGCTCTTCTCCATGGATTACTCTTGTCACAAAGCAGCGATGGGGAGGTGGTGAGAAAAGTATGCCCGTACAGTCAGAATAAAATATAAGCCAGCAAGACCAGAGGGTGAAATGGTTTACGCCTTATTAGAGTCTTGCTTACAGCCTTCTTTAGCTTTGCATCGTACTACAGTCTTGTGCTAAGCTTCAGACCTGTAACCGTAGACACACACTTTCAGAGCTTGGAAGGAATTAATTGCAAGTGAACTGGTTACCTATAGTTACTTACTCACTACGATAAAGGCTGCATAAGTAACTTAAGGTTTCTAATATAGCATCATGAACAGGACTGGAATTAGTTTCTCAATGCCACAAGTAGCACTTTCAATTACTTTCAGAAGTTTTTTTAAAAGAGCATTTAAAGCCATTTTAGAGACATTTCAACAAGGATTTTCAAAAGTTTACTTGCTATGGTCTTATCAATTCTAAGGTGTTCTTAAAAGAAAGGTTAACAGAAAAGAAAAAAGGAATGCAACTGAATGCACATTGGCATAAAAAGACGATAGAATTCTGGCTGTTATTTTTTTCGCTATTTATATTGCTATGTGGGTAGTATCTGAATGGGCCAGAAAAATAAGGCTTCCTCTCCTTCTTCCAACTCCGTGTCCTGCTGTGCCAAACTTCAGACATCTAAGATCACCTTGGAGCCCAAATGGGAGAGGGAACGGTCTTTCACTCTGTGATAGCTACTCATGAAAGACTGTTTCCCCGTAGCTTCTGATTACCCACGATGACAGAAGTAAGACAAGGAGCAATACATTAACGGTGTTGTGGTCCTCCTTGCTGCCAAGTTTAGAACACAGATTTCAATACAAAATTTCTTGTAAGGCTACACCCTTCTTTTAGAACCTCTTCTATGGTGTGAAATTGAGGTGACCTGAATTGTTCTAGAAGATCTTCTGTGGGTTGGTATGTAAGAGAGGAGTGTGTGTTTGTTGTTTTGGACTACAACTTCCATAATTCCCCAGGTGGCATGGCCAAGTCCTTCCATGTCCTGGACACCAATCAAAAACAGCAATGTTGCCAACCCCTTGCTGGTGATGGAAAAGCTCACAGGCATTCCACACCTCAATGAAAATACTGTATACTGTATTAACAACAGTACGGTATTGAGTCGACTCTGACCTTTTTATGACCTTTGGCAGGATTTTTTTAGGTAGAGAGTGCTCTACCTTTCTCTTTTTCTAATGACGCTCTGGAACTGTGCAGCTTGCTCAAGGCTACACAGGCTGGCTCTTCTCTCAGGGGGCATAGGGTCCAACTCACCGAGCGACCTCATCTACTGAAGTCTGAGGGCACAAATGAATATTTCTACTCTGACAGTTCTCAAATTCTTGCAAAGAGTGTCTCTTTTCTTTACCAAACTGAGGAGACCTTACTTATCACTAAACCAGTGGGCTCAGCTTGACTTCCAGTCACAGAGCAAATGTGTTGCGCAATGCAAAGGTCAACTTGTGAAAAAAAAACCCAATGCAGCCCTGTATGAACCAAGAACTACCAGAAACCCCTCTCTTTTTCTCTCTGGAAAACCTTAAATGGAAACTTTTGCATAAGTGCAACTTCATCTCCTTGGGCAATTTCTCAATAAGACACATCATCTCCATCTGGGAAAAATAATAACCAATCAAGCAACCAAACAAAAGAAAACTCCAAATTCTGAAATCTTACCTCGACCGCAGTCAGGCCCCAAGAAACCAAGGAAACAATGGCAGGTCCCGGAAATACAGTCCCCATTCCCATAGCAGTTGCTAGGACAATTATCCACGGATTCTACGGAAGGAAGAAAGGGAGTAAGTGACCAGTTGTAAGAAAGTATAAATGAGAAGTCAAGCCATTTCAGGTACTGTGGGAATGAGCAAAACTCAAGGTGCGTATAAAGCAGGCTTCATTTATAGCTACAGCTCACCTATAAAACGACTGAGTCAGAATTTATCAAAATGACTCCTCCTGCAGAATAGAATATGGAATTTATAATGGAAAGCAAAGGCCACGTTAAAGATGATCCCTGATTTTTCCCCATGCTAATGTATCACCGGTGCGAGGTCCTTCAAAGCCGGTTGTGTCCCACTCTTCTGCAACCCATATCCATTAATGCTCTGCATAGATACAACACACACTTCTATTCTTTATCTCTTCCCCCCACATACCGAAGTTGACGACTATCAGCAGCTGGAAAGTTGCTTTCTTGGACTCTACCACCTACAGTCTACCCGACAGTAGGGCCAGATTAGAGGTGATAGGGGAATCCAATAAAGCAAAATTACCCAAGCTCTTGGGAAAGCTGTAGCTCTCTCATCATGGCTGGGCACAGTAGGACGTGGAGCCCAACACATACAGAGTGTCTCAGGTTGGAGAAGGGGCTGTTATAAGCAGGAAAGTGTGAAATCCCAAGAGTGTTTCAGGGTGACGAGTTGGCTCCGTTGCTCTTTTGTCCCGTGCTCCATCGCATGCAGCACTTCCAAAATGGCTATCTCACTGGCCTCAGTCATGGGCCGTTGCACAACACCATTTTATTCCCATCTCCATTGCAGAATTATGGCCCCAATCGCAGAATTTTGCTCCCAATACCCATTTTTCTGCAAGCACATTCCCCCTTTTCACTCTTTCTTGCAGTTCTGCCTTCATTCTTGGTTATTGCAGGGTTCTAAATGTCCCCATGGTCAAGGAACACAAGGACATTTGAGTCTCTGATCCCTAGTTTAGTTCCTATTTGATTTTGGGAGTGAGGAAGAGCCAAGGTACATCAACGCCATTTTTGCTCCCCTACAATTTTATTCTGATTCTTGATCGTACTCAGAAGGTGATAAAACAGATTGGCAGGAATGAGTTTTTCAAAAACTCTTAGATAACTGCTTTGGCTAACAGTTCAGTGGTTTAGGTATCTGGCCGTGGAACCAGAGGCTAGGAGTTTGATTCCTCACTGTGCCTCTTTGATGAGGGCTGGTCTTGATGATCCTTGAGATCCCAGCTTGGCTGAGAGTAGCCTCACCTACTGCCCCCTACAAGCTTGGCAGTTCTAAGATCATTAATGACTGAGAGTAGCCTCACCTACTGCCCCCTAAAAAATTACGGAAAAACACCCCCTCCTCATCTTCTTTTCTTTTGCTGGACATTGCTCGTACATTTTCAGCCATGCCATGACAGCCTTAACAGGTGGAAATCAAAGTTCAGATTCTCTAAATGGAGCACACAGTGCCAATTCTCTGCACTTCCTAGTTGCACCAATGAAGACTCATGCCCTTTTCTGGAGGTGCATAAAGACAAGACTGAACGGTGGAGATCCTCTGTGCATCTGAGTTGTGTCAGAACAAAATGATCCCACTAGGGCAGTTCCCACATTCGTAGCAGAAAAAAAACAACAACATTGGTTAAACTGGCACAGTTCATAGAAACAGCCTTCATGAATTTAGAAGTATTTTCTTTATGTCGCGGGCTAGAAATCCATCATGAATCACAGCCCTATGTCACAGAAATCTCCTTCACATTGGACCCCTCTATTCACTTCCAGAGAATGGACAGCCTCTCTCTTTATATTCTTTGCATGAGCAGAATTATTCTCTACGCTAAAATGCAAAACTGGAGAAAATGTAACTCTCACGCTTGCTGAGAAATTAACTGATTAAGATGCTTGCCTTTGGTTTGTTTTCTAATACTTACTATAGCAAACATCAACCTTCCGTCCAATGCCCCCAAAATAGGATGCATTAAATCAAAACAGCATCAACACTAGAGCAATCAATAAATGGTGTTTAAAAACAAAGCATTAATATAGCTGAGTGCTGCATCATGTAATCAAAATACATCTCCCCCGAGCACTTCATGCTCCCCTTGGGTTATTTGGGGGAGGGGAAATGAAAATCTATCCCATATATAATGTAATGTTTCTCCTCAAAAATTCTAGAAAAAACACCCAAACTTTGCCAAAATGTCCCTTATTTATCATCCTGTGAAAGCTAATAAGTAAAGGGAAATAGTGTTCTTTGCTTTCAGCTTCATTTTTAATGACAGCTCAAACTAGTCGTGTTTATGATTTTCTTTTCATAAAGTATATGGCTTATTAAATGTTAATTCCCCACCCCACCCCTGAGAAAATAAGGATAATTCTTAATTATTTCTAAGCATAAGTTCTTAGCGTAAAGACAGGGTACAATTGTTCATGTGGGATTTGACAAATGACAAAATAGCACGGTTTGCTTGAGTCTATTGTTTCCAATCCTCACTAAATGTAATGTGTGTCATATTAAAAGAGGATGTAATTATGTGGGGGTGGCCTTAACTTAGCTGGATTCATTTTTCACTGAGACAGGTTAGAAAGAGGGAAGGTGTTTTTCAGACACAAATACCCTTTAAAAAAAAAACAGTATTTCTTATTTGCCATCCAGGAATAAAATTAACCACTGAACAATTAACAGAGAGGTAGGGCTGGGTGGTGGTGCTGTGGGTTAAAGCGCAGAAGCCTCTGGGCTGCAAGGTTGGAAGACCAGCCATCATAAGATCGAATCCACACAATGGAGGGAGCTCCCGTCGCTTGTCCCAGCTCCTGCCAACCTAGCCGTTCGAAAGCATGTAAAAATGCAAGTCGATAAATAGGTACTACCTTGGTGGACAGGTAACAGCATTCTGTGTCTAGTTGTGCTGGTGACGTCACCACAGAATATTGTCTAAGGACATATACTGGCTCTATGGCTTGGAGATGGGGATGAGCACCACACCCTAGAATTGGACAGGACTGGACTAAAGATCAAGGGGAATCTTTACCTTCACCTAGGGTTGGGAATCCAATAGGTCTTGGTAGAAGATGAAAAGGGATGGTGAGGCAGGTTTTGTCTGTCTTCTCCTATGCAAAGGCCCCAAAGATAGGAAGGTGTATATGCAGTTCATCATGGAAAGCTGGATGGACAACTGGCAGTGCATTATATTCTACAGCTGTATTAATTGTGTGCTGTCAAGTCAATTCTGACTTAAGGGGACGGTTTTCCAGGATTTCCACAGGTAACGGCATTCTGTGTCTAGTTGTGCTGGCCACGTGACCACGGAAGATTGTCTAAGGACATACGCTGGCTCTATGGCTTGGAGATGGGGATGAGCACCACACCCTAGAATTGGACAGGACTGGACTAAAGATCAAGGGGAATCTTTACCTTCACCTAGGGTTGGGAATCCAATAGGTCTTGGTAGAAGATGAAAAGGGATGGTGAGGCAGGTTTTGTCTGTCTTCTCCTATGCAAAGGCCCCAAAGATAGGAAGGTGTATATGCAGTTCATCATGGAAAGCTGGATGGACAACTGGCAGTGCATTATATTCTACAGCTGTATTAATTGCGTGCTGTCAAGTCAATTCTGACTTAAGGGGACGGTTTTCCAGGATTTCCTAGGTAAGGAGGTGGTTTCCCCTTCCCTTCTTCTGGGGTTGCCCTGAGAATGTGCGGCTTGCCCAAGGCTACCCAGGCTGGCTCTTCTCCCAGGAGGCCCGGTTCAGTGGTTTAGGTATCTGGTTCCTCAGCCTGATATCTAAATCAGTGAGCTATCCAGTGCTGTCCTCTGAAGATGCCAGCCACAGAGACTGGCGAAACGTTAGGAAGAACAACCTTCAGAACACAGCCAAAGAGCCCGAAAAACCCACAACAACCATTAGATCCCGGCCATGAAATCCTTCGTGAATATATCCAGTGAGCTTTTTTCTACAGCTCTACACTCATCTAATTTAACACTCTTCCACCGAGGTCCAGTTTCAACCACATTCTGTACAGATGCATTTACAGTGGTGCCCCGCATAGCGATGTAAATCCGTTCCAGGATTAACATTACTATCCGGATTTGTCGCTATGCGGGGGGGGAGGAACCCACAGGAACGCATTAAACTCCATTTAATGTGTTCATATTGGGGGGAAAACTCACTGGCCGACATTTTCGCTGCCCAGTAAGCAAGGGCAGGGCGCGAAAATGCTATGGGCTGCCATTTTCTGCACCTGGTGGCCATTTTGGAACCACCGATCAGCTGTTTTCTTAACATTGCAATGCGAAGATCGGTAAGCGAAACGCTTACCGATCATCGCAACGCGATGTTTAGCCTATCTAAACATCGCAATGCGATCGCATTAGCGATCGCAAAAAACGCCTCACTATGCGGATAGGTCAATTTCAGATTGAGGCATATCTTACTCAAAACTACTTCAACTGCTATCTCAGTAATGATTTTCCCCCAAAATTGTTCTTTCAGAAGGCCAAAAGCAAAATAAAAAATAAAAATTAAGCACTGGAAACTCTCAGGAGGAACCCACAGGAACGCATTAAACTCCATTTAATGTGTTCATATTGGGGGGAAAACTCACTGGCCGACATTTTCGCTGCCCAGTAAGCAAGGGCAGGGCGCGAAAATGCTATGGGCTGCCATTTTCTGCACCTGGTGGCCATTTTGGAACCACCGAGCAGCTGTTTTCTTAACATTGCAATGCGAAGATCGGTAAGCGAAACGCTTACCGATCATCGCAACGCGATGTTTAGCCTATCTAAACATCGCAATGCGATCGCATTAGCGATCGCAAAAAACGCCTCACTATGCGGATAGGTCAATTTCAGATTGAGGCATATCTTACTCAAAACTACTTCAACTGCTATCTCAGTAATGATTTTCCCCCAAAATTGTTCTTTCAGAAGGCCAAAAGCAAAATAAAAAATAAAAATTAAGCACTGGAAACTCTCATTCTGTACAAAGTTGTCTGCCACACATCGTTTGAAGCCGAAAATATCTACTGTGTAAACCTTTGCTAT